CTCTCTTTCTTTTCTTCCTTCCCTCTTTTATATTTGTTTTACTTTTGTAAGCAGAGATGTGAAAGGAAAAGTTCAAAATTAGGAGATAATGAAAAAAGGCATGATGCTTAATTGAGAAACTGGCCTGAGTGGGTCATTATTACAGCGACCAAGAAAGACTTACGAGCGAACAGACACCAAGGAAACAATTCATATAAGCATCAGGCTGAGCAGCAGTGTACAGGCGCGTTAGGATGTTGCCGTTGCCATGTGATACTGGTGCCATATGGCAAGGCTTGGAATTCAGATCCTGATCAACCTGAATCTGAGCTTCGAGTGTCCTCATGGGCACTCCCTTGATTCTGAGTGTTTGGAGAGCTAGCAGGATTACTGTGTAGCAAAATCCTGTTGTGGGTCTTTTTCTATCTTTCCTCGTTCTGTTTCTCAATCTATCTTCTAAAATAAAGAAACCCTTTCTGGAAAAAGTCCCATGGATATACAATATGCTGCAATATTATTTTGCAAAAAAAATTTCACATTGTTTTTGAAGTAAACATATGTTTTCCTTGAAATATTTACATATATACACACTTTAAAGAAATAGAGCTGCAGACATATTTCTGAGATATTTTAGATCATTTTAAGTTGACAAGTACCATGGGATTCTTGAAAAATCAAAGTTTAATACTCAACAGCATTGATATGACCTTGTATCCTTGATAAATGGATGCATTAAGAGCCTACCCAACAGGGTTGCATTTCCCACCTGCATTTTGACCAGTTTCCTTAATGACCTTGCCAGCTGATATAAATGGCTTTTTGGAGGAAGCCCAGAGGAGTGTTAGAAAGCTTAAAGATTTTGCTTCATGTTACAGTAGATGGCTTTTAATACTGAAAAAAAAAATAAAATAGTGGCAACTCCTGACATATAAGAATGCCTTCTTTTCTTTTGACAGTAGATAACAAGCACCTCTCTTTTAGAGAAGCAAGGCAGGGATGTTATTTAAACAAGGACATGCTAATTAAAATACACTAATTAAAATTATATGCCAGTCTTACTCATGTTCTTATTGTGACCTCTGTACAGAATTTCCCCATTGTGTTCACATGTGCAGGTTCAGTACCTACTCTGTTATTTCAGTATCTATTTCCAAGTCTGGAAGTGTCGCCACTTCATAGCTAGGCATGTAAGATACCATGACATTCAGTCTTATGAATAAAGTCTAGGGAAAAAATTAAAGATTAATATATTTCTTTTAGATGCATAAGTAAATGTAATTTTGTGGTATTCCAGTGTACCCATTGTTTCGTTGAGTAGTGTTGCTTCACACTGGAAATAAATTATCAGTAAAGTGATAAACAAAGTATGAAAACATCATTAATGTGAGCCAAATGAAGCCAATTTCATAGTAACCACAATTGTCTGCATTAATCGCACATTTTATTTTCACATTCCCCTACCGAATATAATTAAGGTGCTCAATGTCTGTAGAGTGTATGATTGAATGAATAAATACATGTGCAGATTGAGGGTATCAAATGCACTTTTAGACAGTTTGATTTACATGTAGACATCCATACACACTGATAATGTGCTTATCCTAAATGACTCTGGAAATTATTCAGCCCTTTAAAATGTTATTTACTTGGGGTCAGCAGGTGGTGTGGTGGTTAAGGGGCTGGACTCCCACATTGTCTACAGCGGCTTGAGTCCCGGGCCCAACAGAGGAGAATGGAGGAAAAGGGAGGAGAATGGAGGAAAAGAGACTGCAGTTTCACAATTCCCAATTGTGTGTGTGGGGGGAGTGTGATTTCTCACTTTTCCTCTCACTGTCTCTCTCTGTCTCTCTTCAGTGAGCACACGTGCCCTATGATGAAAACCTTAAAATGAGCTATTTGCTCAATAGATTCTCATTGTGTTACCCGCATTCCACATATGCCATACACTTTTTACCCTTCTACTTTTTATTTCTGCATTTTCGAGTGACCTCATTAAAAAAAAAAAAATCTACCATCTTCACACATAAATGTACTCATTTATGGTTACAATTTCTCAGCCATTCCACCAACGTATAATCCCAGGAAAACAAACAAAAAAGATATGAAAATGAAATATCTTGCTTTATTAAAAAAATAGGACAGTGAAACCAATAAATGCAGACACGATGATTATGCTTCAAAGTATTACAACTAAAATTGTGAAAATAAGATTCACTTGGGAAACATTGGCTGTAATTTAGATAAGCTTACACAGCAGTTGAGAGGATAAATTGTTTTCTGTCAATAGTTTGGGGAAATTTACTACTTACTGCCCTAGCATAATATCCTGTGGCCAAATGTATCTCGTGGCATTTCCAGGCACACTTTTATCCTGTGGACATTTTACCAGGATATTCAACATTCAAATAAGCCTGGAGCTTTGTAGAAAGGAGGGGGGAGAATACCCTCTTTGAGTTCAGACTGTCAGTACAGAGCATCACTACAGAGCTTCAATACAGAGCTGTTGTCACTCACACCCCAAGTGGTCGATATATTCATTTCACTCACCTGATCTAAACAGATTGGAACTTTTGCAGTAAAAATCCAATTTTACCTATCAATCATTGTGGTGTAGGTTGTGACCAAAATTATGGCTCCAGTAGCCACTTTTTCTGTTGCTCAAACATTTGGTTGCTCTGACTAAGATATAATATAGCTAGAAAATTATAAATTGCTTTTTGTTGGTTTGATGCATGAGCAGGTAGGCAATATCATAAAACTGTCTAGTTCATGTGGTTAATATTTTTGGTTTCTGTAAACATTAACTCACATTTCTTTGGAAAGTTTTGCTAACAGAAAAAAAATAACTAATGAAAGTAGTGATTGTGTCATAACTTTTCTCTATCACCTTTTGTTAGAACATAAATATGGGTTGACATTTCTTTCCTTCCCACATAAACCTGTGAAGGTTATTTAAAAAAGAAACCCTGAAAATGATAGGTTTAAAATTTCAGCAAGGATGGCTTAATTAGTTGGAACATTATCTTGATAGGAAATTCTTACCAATCACTTGGAATTTATGTACAATCTTTGTTATGAATGAGGTAATAACTCAAAATGCCTTAGATTCCTGACAAGTAACAGAGTGCTCCTTTACAACTCTGACCTTTTTCAAAGTTTATACTTACAATGTGTGTGAGGGTTATAACAAGTATTGCCGGGTTTCTGGTTCTTTGTATTCAGGAATTGCAACTGAACATTTAGGGACACTGTCATACGTAAGAAATAACTCAATTTTTAGTCAGGTACAAACTTACAGGAAATCGCATTTCCTAGACTGTTAAACATCATTCATCCTATTTTTATAAATATTAAGATTCAGAGAAATAGAAACTGAAATAGTGGTATTTTAAAAACTCTGAAGAGATGATATACGTTTATATCTCAAACTCAGAATTGACCTCCAAGCCTTAGCAATAAATACCCTTATTTTTCTCTTCTTTACAATGTCAGGATTCAATATTCTTTTCTGAGGCAAGCTTGTTTTCAGCTATTCTTAGTCTCAACGGGGCTTCTAAATCGAAAGAGCGGTGCTAGGTTTGGAAGCACAGCTGCTTTCTTAATCATGAATGACCAATAAGAGAGCTGCTAACATAGAACACATCTAAAGGAGAGATAATATGCTCCAAAATAAAGGGAATACAGGACAAAATGGGCATTGTTTATATTTTATACCATTTTCATTTTTTAAGATAGCAACATTTTAAAATATATATTTAATGCTTATGAAAATTATTTCCTCTCTAAACAGGGAATAGTACACATATTTTGGGGAGTTATATGTTGACATAGGCAATGTATCCACTCACGTCTGTTACTAAGTGATCACATGGACCAGTGCTTCTTACCCATGGGTGTGCATTAGAATAACACACAGGAGTGTGCGCTTCGGCAGCACGTGTACTAAAATTGGAACATACAGACAAGATTAGCATGGCCCCTGGACAAGGATGACACACAAATTTGTGCAGCATTCCATATTTTTAAAACAAAACAAAAACAAAAAGGATAACACAAGGTTTATTTTTGTTTGTTTGTTCTCTGCGTTTTAAGGTTATAGGGCACATGCATTTGCCACGAAGGCAGAGAGAGAGAAAGTGAAAAATTACCCCCCTAGAGGGGTGCTAAAACTACAATCCATTCTTTTCTCAGGATTCTGGATATGCACACACATGTGCCAAATATGAGTTACCAGCCGCTGGTTCCAGGACTTGAACTGCTGTCAGCTATGTAGAAATCCAGCACCTTAACCACCATGGCACTTGCTGGCCCCAACATACAAGGCTTTTTAAAGGTTCAGATCACCAGTTTCTGCTTCTAGATCTCTTCTGCATTAGTTCTGGATAGGATTATGCATTTTCAAGCTTCCAGGTGGTAAAGATGCCATTGGTCTAGGAACCAGTTTGACAATCATTTACATATACAGAGTACCTCCTTTCACATAAAAACCTGATGATGCTTATGTGTATAACAGATATCATTGCTCTTTTCTCTTTTTTATTACAGAATTTTTTTCTTTGTTGAAATAAACAACACTTACAGAAACACTCCCCAAAGTTTTATTTTTTTGATTTGTTGTTGTTGTTTGTTTTTTTTTTTTTTTTTTTTTTTTTTTTTTTTTTTTATTTTTTTTTTTTTTTTCTTTTTCATGAGCGAAAAAGACAGGTATCTTGACAGGTTGACAAGGCCATGTCACTGTGATTCCCTTCCCTCTGCTCTCTGGCTAGTCAGGATTTTGAGGGCAGATGAGCGCATATTGGGACAGAAGAGCTAAACCAGTAGCCAGCCTCATGGCTCCCAGCACTACCTGTCAGTAGGCTGCACCACTGAGGCTGAGCTAGAAGCACTTTCTGTGACACATAACCCACTGAAAAGGAACACAGGTACTCAACTCCAGCCCTGGTTAAATGTTGGACAATAATACATTGTTATCAGATTTTTCAAAAAAAGCCAGGAATATAGAATATGAAAGTTCACATAAATTATTTTATTTTTAATTCTATTTACTAGTGCCATTGAAATAAAAAAAGCATAATCACAGGGGGGAAAATGTATTCCATGGCCCATTTCTGGTCAGCAGCCTTTTAAATTTCTCGCCTCTACTTCAACTTCAACATACTCCAAAGAGCATTTTGTTTCCACATGCCACCAAAACTGCTTTCACTAAAATAACCAATAATCTCACCTGACTAAATCGAGTGTGTGTAAATATAAACATATTTAAATCTCACTAGATAGCACCATAAAAGAAGACACAATGTGCTTGTGCCAGCTACTTCAAGAATCCCCCTCCCCTAGCTTCTTTTCAATATCTCTAGAATTTCCTTAGCAACTCTGTTGATTAGCTTTTCTTTTTCAACTTAACCCTTAAATATTAGAGTATTTCAACTCTCTTCTCTTCCTACATCAGAATCTCTCCCTAGGGACCAATAGTTAGTGTAATGACTATGTCACTGGACTCCCATGTAGTCAACGCAGTGTGAGTCCCGGACCCGGTGGCTTAAACTCATACCGGGTGCGTATGCGTACGTGCCCAAGATCCCGAGAGGAGAATGGAGGAGAAGGGATTGCGGCGTGGCCATCCCCCCTGGGGGGTGATTTCTCACCTTATGTCTCTCTGTCTCTCTCTGTCTTTCTGGAGAGGGCATGTGCCCTACAGGAAAAACCTCTCAAAAAAAAAAAAAATCTCTTCCTAGAAGTCTCATGTTTTCTTATTTCATTTACCATACAATACTGACAATATGCTTATTTATATCTCAGGCCCACATTGATATTTATTCATGATTTTGCTACCATTCAAAAATATCATTTACAAAATATTTTATTATTCATTGACCCTTACTTATTCCAACTCAAATATTGCTGGTTTCTATCCACTCTGACGTGTTTTCACTGTCCTTATCGAAAGTTAGCTATATTCAAAATATCCTTATTGAATACTAACATATGCCCTTACTGAATACACTTTTAATGTATTATACATTTAACAATATTTAAATTCGCACTATCATTTATTTGTTTTTCAAGTAGCAGAATTATTTTAAATCTTTATCTTACACTAAACTCAAATGTAGCTCTTACAGATAATATAAAATGTAACAGATTATTGTAACAAGAAAATAAGCATAATCTTTTAATCTGTAAAATGACACGTTTAGTTTGGGTATTTTCCTTCATTTTCCTGTATTTAGACTATTCTCCCCATTCACTAAATCCTTGGACAGTCTCATCTATTTCCTTCTTAGACCTAACATCTAATTGTCATTTTTATTTTCTGCTTTATAATAGCTGTCATTGGATAATGGAAGAATCAATCAAACTTTTTTTTTCTTCATGTCCCTGCAGCAACAGAACTTTATTATTTTTACTCCAGTGACACCAAGGAGCTTGAATCAATATTGACAAAACATCAGGTCCTTTTTGAAAAACTTTTCTATGATAGCACTCAAAGCTTAACCATTTCACATCTTTTATAACCACAGAAACTCAAAATTTACTTTTGCACAAACACATACATCTTAATCCCTTGGAAAAATCACTCTGCTGCATTTGAAATGCAGTCACTATAATTGACTTTCAAGGTACAGAACTTGTATTCATCTCCATATCAGAGAATAGAATCAAGCTCTAAACAAAGGGAACTTTATCATCAGTTTTCAAAGATTAATGTTTCTTTACAAGGGGAAACTAGTCTTGCGAGCAATCTGATTTTGTTCTTGCTATTGATAGAAAAGTTGAGTTTCTAACAGAACTGGCAGAGAAACATACTCAAAGATAAATGGATAATTTAGCTCTGGAAATAATTCACACTTAAACCTTGTTTTCCATTGATTTGATCATTTGAAAACTCTCCACACATATCAAAAACTCTTCCTTTTGAAATACTGCTAAATGTTATTGTTGTTTTAATTTTTAAGTAGTGAGATATATAATAACTTTCATTTGATTGAACTCATACAGTTCAACACCTTGTTAATGTATGTTCTTCTAATAAGTTCTCTCTACATGTGGCATCTGACACCCGATCTCGGATTTTTAAACATTATTTATTGATATTGCCGAGTGTATGTAAATGCACCAGAGAAAGAAAGAACATGCTCCACAATGAAATGTTGTCTTGCCATAATCCCCTTTTCTCCATTTCTTCATCTTGTCAGGATTTGGGGCACATGCTCACACACACCCAGTATATTTTTTCAAGCCTCTGCTGTTAGAACTTGAACATCAGTTGTCCAAGTGGGATCCAGCTCCCTTCAAACGATGCTCAACAGCTGCACCATGAAAGTCACTCCTTTCCTTTCCTCTCCTCTCCTCTCCTCTCCTCTCCTCTCCTCTCCTCTCCTCTCCTCTCTCTTCCTCTCCTCTCCTCTCTCTTCTCCTTTCCTTTCCTTTTTCTTCCTTTCTTTTCCTGTCTGTCACTCTTTCATTTTTCAGTCTTCTTTTGCTCTTTATGCCTGAGGAAAATTAATTACTTCCACCTTTGCTGTTAAGTAATGCTTCTCAGACAGAATGTATCACCCAATAGTTGGTCTCTGTCTAGTATGACCTTAAAACTTGATGAAAATTGAATAAGAGGAAGTGCGTAATACTGTAAATAGAAAAACACTATGGAGAATGAATGCATAAAGATATTTGTTTTGCAACATGTGTTTTGACTAAATGCATTTGTGCTAAATACACAGACTATGTTATTGACCCTTTTCTCTTTTTACAAGTATAGCTACTAAATCAAATCTGTTTATCCAGTTCAGTGTAAAGAGTGATAGACGTGCAGCTGTAACTCCGGCCTCTCAGTCTTTGTCCCAGAGTTTCTTTTACTTTACCATACTGCCTACTCTTCTTTAAGTACAAACACTTATTGCCATCCTCCACTCTCGAGTTTTGATTCTATGTGCCAATTCATTTTTTGAAACCTTCTAATTTCTTACTTCTCTTTTAAGTCAGTGGTTTTATTATCAGAGACAGCTGGCTTCTAAGTACGAAAGAGTTGGTGGGGGCAGATAGTGGTACAGCAGTGAAACACGATGCACCAGGAGGCTGACCTGTATGAGAAAACTCCAGGTCCACGTCCAGAAACCCCCCTGAGTACGTAGGGCACACATCCAATCATGATGCACGTGGCCGGCTGAGACTGAGAGTCTCTGGAAGAAATATTTTTTTTAAAGAAAGCTTTAAAACATATAAAGAGCTAGTGTTTAAAAATTCAGTAGTATTTAGTGATCTCCAAAATTATTTATGTTGATATTGTTTCCATCATAATCAAAAGTACAGTTGTTAGAAAGGATAGTAATAACAATGCAACTGTTTGGGATATTTCAATCTGTACTTTCTAGTATGCAGGATTATACCAATATTTGAGCTATGTTTTAGTAAAACAATATTTTTAAGACAAAGTCTCTGTGTTGCAATTGTCCTGCCTCCTTGTCCTCCTGGGTAGCTGGGCCTGCCGGAAGGTGCTACCACAGGCTCTTACCCAGGACAGCCTTGATCTCATGACTCCTGTGCCTCAACCTTTAAAACTGCTGGAATTATAAGAGTGCACTGTCATGCCTGGCTTTGTAGTTCAGACTGGGAATTGAACTCACACCTGCAGAGGATAGCATGTTAGCCACATGCATCACCACAGCTGGGCCTCAGTAAAACCAGCTTTAATGTGTTTGAAGTTCAGTATAAAAAAGTTCTTGATTTTGTATGTCATTCATAATGCTAATCTGAACAATGATGAAGACTACTTGGAAAATTAGTGATAGCAATTATTAAAAGAAAAATAGATGTTTATAATATATCGGGGTTTGTATGTGTGTCTGTGTGTGTACTTATCTATCTGCATCACTCTATATGGATATATATGTAGAGAGATATGAACAGTCATATCTATACCTGTTTATCTATAAAAAAGAAGCTAATTGTACATCTTTCAAATTGGCCATTCTGTAAGAGGTTTGCATCTGTATTAGCATTAGTTTAAATTTTCTTTGACATCAA